AAAACGAGTGATTCTGGATGCTTTCTGTTTTGTGAATGTGTCAGATTCCTTACAGTATGTCTATTCTCAGCAGATTTTATAGTCTGGAAGAGAAAAGAGACAGAACAGATAATTACAGGTGCACTGAGTATAGCAAAGGAGAAAGGGTGCTAAAAAAAAAAAAGTCTGTAAGAATCCTACCTAATCTGGTCTAAATTGAACATCAGACATCCTCCATCAGAGAAGGGAATTTTGAGAAGGAAATGAGATTTAAACTCAGCACGGAAAAATACATAGGGATGAAGTCAGTGAAGGTGTTGTGGTGGGAGGAAATGATATGATGGCATGTGCAATGATATGATGACTTGAGCTGGACATGAACAGAGTATTTTCCAGGAAACAACATTCATACGTCAACTCTCCATTTACTCTTCTCTATCTCATCTTCACTATTCCATTTGCATTATGGGAGACATTTTTAATCTTGTCCTGAATCTAATCAATGTGATTTTCTGCAGTACTCTTTTAGTTGTTTATTGATTTTAATTTTTTTCTCATTTTGCTATAGCATTATACTTGTCTTTAGAGTTTTCTTAGCTTGCTATTTCTCTCTTTAAAAATAAAAACTCTTTCATCTTACTTTTACATAGCCATGTATATGAAATAGTTATTATATATATATATATATATATATATATATGAAAAATGAAGGTCCAGTGAGGTTTAAGAGCTTACCTAAGGTTACCCAGCTTGTAAAGTCTATAAAGCGCTTGGTTTATGCATGACTAGTGTAATAGTTACTTTTCAGGGATATGTAACTACTAGTTTGGGTACATATTAATTCTAACCAGTAGCTCTATGTTTGTCACTACTGTCAGAATCAATATAATAGTTTAGGGATGCCTAAAAAAAGAAAAAATCTTCCATTTCCTAGAAGCGAAGCTAAATGAATTTTATTTTCTTATATTATTTTGTTTAACAATTTAAGTTTCCAGAATTAATCAACAAGACTCCTAGTAATTAAGTCAATAAATTCATTCTCCTGCAGTATCTTTATATATAAACAAAAAAATCCACACCTCAAATATGAGAAATAATCTTATTCTATAATTATGTGCAGCTTTTCTGTAAAAATAAAAGTATACTTTTTCCAAAGTTACCATGTTAGAGGGGACTAATTAATTTCAGCACTCCATCCTGGAGAGGAAAGTACCAGGTAACTAGAACAACTCTAAAGAGTCTACTATATTTTCAGGGCTTGCCAATTTTGCATTTGTTTCAAATGCCATGTTTTATTTTAGACATTTGTCTTCACCTAATTTGTAAGAATTATCAGCTTGAGGCACTTGTATGTTTATTTAGTATCACTAATTCTGGAGTGGGTTGCGTGCTGTATCTACTATTCCATAGTAGTCATGGAAAAAAATCTCAGCAACAGTTAAGACTATGCCAATTAAGGGAACTAGGGGTGATTTTTGAGAAAAAATCTGTCAACAAGAATGCTAGAAATGAATTATACAGCATTAAATAAAACCTCAAAAGACTATGATGGTGTCAGGAATATAAAACAGAGGGAAAAAAAAACAAAAGATTGCTGGGATACCAGAAGAAAAAACTGCATGTTTGAATATTCCTACCAAATGGGCTATTTTGTGGAATCCTTACAACTCAGAATGTATTATCGTTTGAAAGGAAGGTATCAGTTCACTAGTTGTTTACTCTGTGGATGCCTCATTGCAATTAAAACATAATTCTTTGCATAACAAGTCCTATTTTACTTTAGAGAAATTCCCAGATGGAATTCATCAGATATGATAAAATACTGTACTTATTTTGAGGATAGAATCTGTACTTATCCTCTTCAGATCTTGGAGAAATTTATTTTAAAAATTATAAATTATTTTATAATTCTTTGATTTTGTATTTTTTTCTATCATTTCTAGAGGACTTTCGGTTTTTTAACCAATAAATATATTACATGGAATTTAAAATTTTTAAGTCAATTATTTTAGAATTTGATAAAAGCAAATTAAAAATTGCTTGTACCATTAATCAACATCCATCAGCTGATCGTTATTACGCATGCCACTTTCTAGATGATATGGGTGATCTAAAAGGACTGACCTCTAGGAAGTTAGGTAGATGATGCATGTGACAAAAGTTGAAAACGTAGAAAATAATGAAGTGCTAAAAACAGGGTAGGATTCAGTTCAGGGAAGTGAAAGATTGATGTATGGAATTGAATTGGGGCTTAAGGATAATTATTAGAGGAAGTGATTAGGTAAAAGAAATAATGAGTTAGGCCCTGTTGCTGAATGAATGTGTCACATTAAAGAGAAAGCAATTATGCCTAAAGAGAATAAAGGTTTGTATGGTGAAAAGTAGAAAAATATAAACTTGGAAAGTCATGTTGACTAAAATTTGGTGGATCAAGAAAGCAAAGAGGAGTTTAAGTTTTGGTTTGCTATTAAGACAATAAGAGAGCCATTATCAGTTCTTGAGCAAAAAAAAAAAAAAACAAAACGTAAAAATAAGCTTATAAATTATAAAATATAAAGTGTTGATTAAAATAGTTTATATTTAAATTATGTTCAGTAACAATCTAGATTAGACTAATAATAGATTATATTAGTTTGATAGATTAAAATAATAAAGAGACAAGCAAAGATGACTTATAGAGTAGAAGACTATTAAGTTTTATGAAAAATAATTCTGAACTTTGGCAGTGTACTACATGTGTGAGTTTACATTCCATTCATAGATAATGCTTATAGAGGAGATATATTGCTGAATTCTTAATTAGCATTTGGAATTTAATCTATCTCCTCTTATGTTACATAGCTTTGTAGGTCAATTGGCCATTCTTAGGAATATCACAATTCACAGTACATTTACTGGTTGATGCTTGAGTTCTTGGCACTGTTAAAAAGACCTCTGGGAATTTTACAGAAAAGACACACCTGGACAATGTCTAGATAAGTCATATCAAACATACACATAAGAGTATTCATCTTTGTTCATCAACAAACCTACCTCTCCTTCAAGAATGAATTTAAATATTACCTTCTCTTCAGGCACTTACAAATATCCTAGAAAGAAATACTACTTTACATGAATTTTAAGATTCCATCATACTTTTTATTATATCCTTTTAATGGTATTTAGTATCTTGTAGTGTTTTTTGTTTTCTGAATATTGCAGTTCACTGAGTGCAATATTAAGACCTATGCTGGTATAATTCCCTTCATAGATGATGCGTATCATTTAGATGATAAGCACTTTGAAGATACATCAAGGGCAAAAGCAAGAGATGGTGTTTAATGAATCTTAACATGGCTATTCACAATAATTATTACTTTTCAATAAAGTGTCTAGTAGAGGGAGTAATAAATGCTTCCTTTGTTCAAAAGATCACTAAAAATTATATTTTGGGGAAAATCATTCTTCCATGTGTGAACATGTACATATCAAAGTAGTTAGCACACTCCCTGGTATATGCGCGATACACAATAATACTTTGTGGTTTTTTTAGAACATAATACTCTGAAAAACAAACAACAAAAAAAAGAAAAAGTCAGGGAAAGTGCCCAAGATACATGACCAGGAACAGTAAAGCATATAGGTAGGCCTAGATCAATAGGAGGAAAGAATGTACCTTAACACAACATATGAAGATCCATTAGAGAATTTCACAGAACCAAGTGTGTTAAGTGGCATGGAATGGCTGTAAGTATTAATGAGGTGGAGGAGAGGTAGAGAACATGAAGGATATAATAGTGCTTCATAATCAATGCATTATTGTAACATATTGCTCGTAATATAAAAAAAAATCTCCAGACTGTTCATTTTTTAAAAGTTTAAAGTACTTGAGTATCAAATAGTCTGAATAGTCTAATATTCTGTAAATTCACAATATGCAGAAAATGTATACTATCTGATGTTTTCAGAACTTAGCATATGTTTCAAATGAAACCATATGCCAACAACTGTCTCAGAGGAATGAGAAAGGTTGTCTGGACTCCATGGCTTCTTTGGTTAGCTTTCCTCTGATACCTATATTATGCTGAGATTGTCAGCATCCTCTCTGACACTATATGAAGGAAAATGGTAGAAGAGGAAGCTAATGTTTACTGAGGGTCTACCAAGTATAATAGGACTGAGTTAGACGTTTCATATTCTTTATCTCACGTTAATCTTCATAAGAAGTTTGTAAGAATGATGTTACCATTCATGTTTTATAAATGAAAAAAACATCAAGGCTTGGACAGGTTATGAAATGTGCCTAAAGTCACCCAGCTATAAGTGGCAGAAGTAGTACTCAATGCCAGAGCCAGGGTGCTTTCTATCACATTGCACTGTCCTCACTCATAAAATGAAAACTGGCTGACAAATGAAGTCAAATTATTATTTTACCTATATTTTTTAAAAAAGACTTCAGTTATTTTTTGTTTACTAAATATATTGGAGGGCCAATGGTAGAGTAAGACATCTTCTAGACTGATGCAAGAAACAAACCTGAACTGAAATGCTGTTTTAAAAACTTTCTGCTTTCTCAATCAGTTTTCTGCACTGAGAGATTATGAAAATTTTTAACATAGAAAACATACTTTACAGTACAGAAAAGCATATGGAGATAGACATAGAATGAATATTGACTCTACAAAGTTAAATGCAAGTTTTATTGGGCTATGCATAATAAAAGGAGTTAGCTGAGGGTAGTCTAACCTTAAAAGATTTAAAGCACTGATGTGCCAGAAGAATTCTTGCACAATTGTAGACAATCACTACATTCTTGTAGAATAAATTACAAAAATGTGATCATATTACCTTATGATATTAACATTAATTGATGGTCTAGAGCAGATTGGTGAATTTTACCTTTTCTCTAACTAGAAATACCAGAGTATATCTTAATAAAAATATCAAAGCAATTAATGTGTGGATTGTTATATTTTGTACTTTTTTATTATAAGTTTAATCAAGAAGAAAATGAATCAAGTGCATTCGTATTTTTTTTCTAGTGCTCAGCTTCTTGTGGTAAAGGTAATAAGTACCGTGAAGTGTTTTGTGTTGACCAGTTCCAAAGGAAACTAGAAGACACAAATTGCAGTCATATACAGAAACCTCCAACTCACAAAGCCTGTAGATCTGGCAGATGCCCTTCATGGAAAGCCAATAGCTGGAATGAGGTATGTGATGTATTTTATAATTATACATGTATTTTTTTATTGAAAAACAAAATCTCAATTCATTCTTATTTTCCATAACCTTGAATGTTTTACTTCTCTAAAATGTATTGTTATATACTTTTTTGCACTATGCTCTAAGTTAATATTAATACTCAACAGTGTTAACACATTTGCTAAGTTTATAGTTAAATAATAAATTAGTCATTTGATTTTTTTAAATTGAGACAAGGTTTTGCTATGTTGGTCAGGCTATTCTTAAACTGCTCGGCTCAAGCAATCCTCCCTCCCATCTTGTCATCCCAAAGTGCTGGGATTATAAGCATGAGCCACTGTGCTCAGCCTAGTCATATGACTTTTGTGGCTATAAACTTGACAAGAAATTTTGTTATTGAATACTAGCAGGGCTACTGATAATCATAATACTATTCTCTGTAGTCTAACAGTAAAATATATATATGATGATGCATTTAGTAACTGCCTTGTTTCTACCCCAAAATTTTGGATTTGAGGTAAGGTTGAATCCTGGAGAGGGGACTGGTAAATTCCAGACAAGATTGTAATCAGAGATTGAGAGTTAGGGAGTTGTCAGAGCTAGACAACCTAGGCTACGCTAGAATAAAAGGACTCAGCAAAAATCAAGCTGATAAATAAATGAATCCAGGCTGACAATTCAGTCTGTAAAAAGAAGGGTAATTGATACCACTTGGCATACTCGGAGAAAAGAGATCAAAAGTTCAATTGAGGTAGGGACTGTCAAAGTCCACCAGCTTGGGAAATATTGACAAGAAAAAAGCCATAAATGAAGTCAGAAGTGATAACTGGAAAAATTTTCTGAGGACTGATTTCTATGGGGCTGGACTTTAAATGTAGCCATCTGGCTGCTCTCAGCAGTTCCTCAGAGGGATTATCTAGTACTGCAGAGGGAAAAAGAAACCTATCTTCTGATCATAGAACTTCCTTATCTCTGTCAGATATTTGAGTTATGTCTATTGGGCAGCTAGAAGGAAATGGAGTTTCCCCTGGGGTCCAACGTCATCATCATTTAGTCTTTGCACTCAGCACCTCAGTGCAGTGCATTCAGCTTTAAAGTGGAATTGTGTCAATGCCTCATTGATATTGACTAAAAGCCTCCCAAATCGAGTAAAAATCTCAAATTTCTTTGTAAAAGGGGCAGCCTCTGCCAGTGTTAATATGTTGGGGCTGTGGTCAATGTTTAATTGAAAACTAGAAGTTAGTGCATCTCTATTTTTAATCCCACACACCAAAAAGATGTATTGTTGGGCCTTTGCTTCTACATTGGATGTTCATCAAATAAATAAATTATTTTTCATGCTTTAGTAGAGGCCATGATTTTAAAGATTTCTCCATTAACTTGTTTTATTTAGTAAATGTCACTAGTTCCTACTAAGTTGTTCAAAAAAGAAATACTGGATCGTTCTTATCTCCTTTTCACTTGCCTCTTAACAGGTTCTCTCATTTAGTTACTCAACAGGTTCTCTCATTTCCTTTATCAAAGTAGCTCTTGAATCTCCACTGCACCCACCCCGATCTAGTTTGATACTTTATCATCATCTGTTTCTGAGTCTATAATGGCCTCTCTACATTTATTTTGGCCATGTTTTTTTTTTTTTGTTTTGTTTGTTTGTTTGTTTGTTTGTTTGTTTTTTAATCAGACGGAGTCTCGTTTTGTTGTCAGGCTGCATGCAGTGGCGCGATCTCAGCTCACTGCAACATCCTCCATCTCCCAGGTTCAAGCGATTCTGTTGCCTCAGCCTCCCAAGTAGCTGGGACTACAGGCATGCACCACCACGCCCAGCTGATTTTTGTATTTTTAGTGGAGATGGAGTTTCACCATGTTGGCCAGGATAGTTTCGATCTCTCCTCATGATTCACCCACCTTGGCCTCCCAAAGTGCTGGGATTACAGGCTGAGCCACCTCGCCTGGCCTATTTTGGCCATTATTTACATTCATATAGTGTGAGCTCAGAAGAACTCAGATATGCTTGTGTCACTTAATACCATCTATAACTAAGCATTATCTTTAGGGAGTAAGAAAAAAACCTAACTCATGCTTACTAATTCAGAAGTATCTCAGACATTACTCTTTTTCTCTTAGAGGCAATGGATATTTTATTTCCTAAGCACCTAGCTTTGTATCTAAGCTAAATACTTCTTACTCTGAATACTGTGATCTAATTTCAAAATGACTCACCATGTCTTGATTTATTATGTTTCTCATATTGTGGTTTTGCTTAAAGTGGAGGTTTGCCTTTATCTGGATAGAGATGTGGCAGGATAATGGCAAAGTATCTTTCCCCTGTGTGCAACATCATAAAGGCACTGAACATGAATGGCCACAGATCTGCTCAGTGTGCAGCAGTTAACTCCCAGTTCCTACATCAGGCCGGAGCCACAGGGGCATGGGAGTGGAAATGAGGGAGACTTTTTTTGTCTTGGCCACCAATATTCCTGTTGATCTCAGATTCTTCTGCTGCTCTGCAGCTGCTGCAGCTGCTATGGTTGGTATTAATGAAGAGTCGCTTTCTGACTCTGAACCTCAAGCTCCACAATAGTGAATCCATCATCCATGCAAACAAATTGGCCTTGGCTTACCACCAAATATGAAATTATGTGAGATCTGCTAAAGGAACATATTTCAGGGATTTTAAAGATACAGATATGAATATTTAAGGACTACAAAAAATAGATGCTTTTGTACAGAATTTGCTTTCTTTGAATTGGTTTTCCTTGTCATAGAAATTAGTTGCATTCACCCACACAGTCCCCAAATCTCAGCCAGAGACAAATGACCACTTGTGAAGTCATTGCCTTTTGATTTATTCTATAAAAAGCACCCACACGAAGTTAACAATTGCAGGCTGTCACTGCATCACATATAACAGTATATTAAACAGAAGTGTAATTTCAGAGGTAGTTACAAGATAATCACTGGTTGCTGCTTTATTCTGAATATGTAAATTGTAACATTGCTTTAATATAATCACTCACTCTTAAAATAATTTCATTTTATTACTATTTTACATGATGCTTCATTCAAATGGAAAGACTCGTTTGATAAATTTTGACCACAGAGGGGCTTACATGAGTTTTGAAGGAACACTCTTCATTTAGTATTTGTATCTTTTTTTTAAAAAAAATTAAAAGATTTAGAAATGCATTTTAATGACTGTTGCTAAACAGGAACAAACATTGCTATACAGGGCCGTTTGCCCTCTGTTCGGATGTATATCCTAGATACAAATTAAATACCTGAGTTGTTTAAAAGGAAAAAAAAAAAAAAAAAAAAACCCACTCCACCCCCACTTCCTAGAAACAAGGGGATTTTTTTTTTTCATTTAATTTTATCTATTTGGAAATAGCAGCTTCACTTGTAAATTCAAGTTTTTAAAGCTAGCATGGTTCTAGATTCTTCATTGTCTCAGGTCCCATTTACTTACTTAAGTGCCATCCAAATGCACAATCTCTGTTTAGGGAAAAAAAAAATTCTGAATTCTCACCTCCTCTTAAACTTGACAAACCTGCTGGACAATTTAGATACCTGCAGAATCTCACACAACAATATTCAATGTAGAACCAAGTCAAATCAGCCACTTAGTTGCTTCCTCTTTGATATCCATCATTTTCTTACTTGCATTTTAAGATAAGAGCTGAGACCAAAGGTGATATAAATTCCAATATCCCACATATCTGCTGCCCAGTGTTCCCACCCAAAGTCCCTCATTTGGAAAAAAAAAAAAAGAAAAAAGAAAGAAATTGAATGCTAAATTCTAGATGTTTAAGAGATTTTATATTTCTGTAATTCCATATTGTCTATCTTTCAAAAATATGTAAGTATAAATCTTTATTTCCATATTTTCAGAATTCCTGACATATGTATGTGTTTTATAATTTTAAAAATAGCAAATATTAATTTTTTAAATCCCTAAAGCTCCTAATTAAGAATATATGATCCCTTCATTTGTAACATCAGGGTATTCAGTGACACTTCTAAGAAGAAGGTAGACTGGGGCTTAAACTTTGCTTCCTAATCTTTTCTAGCCAGTGAAATTCTGTTTTTCATTTCAATGCTATCTGTTAATGCTCCTCCTTTATCATCTTTCTTGATATTTAAAATGGCCTTTCTTGGGGTACGCTGAGATGACTAGCAATCTAATTTAAGGCATTTATCAAATTTTCAAGGCATAAATAATCACATCTCCATAAGAAAAGTGAAAAAATGGGAAGAGAAAGGGAGCAGCAAGGGACAATCACTTCCTGACACTGTATAAGAGACGTCTTTTTTCCCCATAAATGCAGGTATTATTATGTTCATTAGATAGATGAAGAAATAGCAGCTTATAGAAAAGTTAAGAAGCCTGTGTAGGTCATAGTGCAGGAAATGCTGGGGGCAGGGATTTCAACACAGGTCTGTTTGAGCTTTCTCCAGTATACTAGTTATCATAATTATTCCATTATTATCATTATACATTAGCTCATCCATATATCTCCTTAGTAAATTATTGCTTCTTTGGCCAAGAAGGATACATGAAGTTCACAATTTCAGGCTGTGACTGAACTGCATATAATATTGTAGTCAATAGAATGTAATTTCTAAGTTGTGCTGAATTCATTGCAAGTTTTTTAATCTTTAAATGTTTGTTACACACATATAAGATATATAGAGATTTTACAGGTAAAAGGATAAATAACTGAGGATATAGTTGATCACATATTATATATGATGGAGTTGCTTAAATCCTAAGAAGGATGATGTTCAAAGTGTTGGGCACTAATATAGTCTCATCAGATATTTGGAGTAAGTGCCTATTCCAAAATTCAGATTATAAGAAAAACCTTGACAATTTTCCAGATCCCCAGGGAAGAACAAATAAATAGTAACAACTATGTTATGGAAGTTGTCTAATGTTCTGTTGGGAATAGCAAGCCTGATTTTATTAGTGGTTTAAATCATGAAGATTTTTATTGTTTACATAACAAAA